ACCTCCTCCCTCTTGGCAGAGGGCACAGCATCCCCGTGGGACTGCCGGCATGTCTCGACAGGGTGATCTCCCTCCCCTAAAATGCCTGTTGCGGGGATTCCTCCTGCAACATCTCAGCTTGCTGCTGCCGGTCCTGGCACGCCACTGCGGGATGCGGGATGCTCCGGGTGTTCCCTGCCCGCCAGCTGCCCCAAGCACCCCTTCCAAAGGGACCAGCAAAACCCAGCGAGGCCAGTTGGGGAATTGAAATGAAGTCTCCTGGAATAACCTCCTGGCAGCAAGTCTGAGTGGCTGGGGGGGGGGGAAAAAACCGGTCTGGGGGCTGGAGTACCCCCCTGCCGAGCTCCACCGCCAGCAGGGAGCCAGGATGGTTTCAGAGATGCGGCGGGGGGGTGTGGGGGGCAAATCTTTTAAGCTCACGACTGCAGCCATGGTGGGTTTTGCCGTGCCCCTTGCTGGGTCTGCAGCTCCCACATGAATTAAGCCAAGACCTAAAAATGCTGCATACTTGGTTGCAGTCCAGCTCTTAATCCTGCGGCCGGGGGGCCGCTATTCCCAGAACAACAGGTTTGCGAGCAACTGCACGCTGCCGCAACGGGGACTCCTCGGGCTGGCTGTCCCTGCACCTTGTGGTGGCACCCGTGGGTGTCAGAAGGACACGGTGCTGTGGCGTTTGCAGACATCAGGCTGGGTGACTCCCAGTGTCCCAGTGCCCACATGGTACCAGCTGGGTGGCAGCCTGCTGACGCTTGTTTTTTGGGAGGGCTCCGACCCACCAACTCCTTTCCCATCAGCTTGACGACAGCTGGGGTTTGGCAGGGGTCCGTGGCCTCTTACCTGGCTCCTCAGGTGCCGCAGCCTTCACCCTGGCCGTGCTTGGCTTTTCTGCATCTGGGAAGACCCACTAGGGCCGGGTTCACCCTTGCTGGGCTCCGGGCTGGCTGCTTCCCATGCCAAACCCCACATGCCTGGAAGCCTGATTTGGGGTGGTCCTGGGCTGCTTGGTGCTGCCCCATTACCTCCCTTCCCCGGCACCCAGGGTGCAGGCAGGTGACGGGGACCTCGCTCGCGAGGAGGAGAGCAAGACCTGGGGAGGGACGCAGTGTTTTGGAAGCCATTTAAAACCCACAGGGGGTGCTTTGGGTGCAGCCAGATGCTTGGGTGAAGAAGTGCCGGTTTGGTTTGCTGCGATATTTCTGTCTGTGGTGTTTCTTAGGAAATGAAATTTTTTTTACAATTCCGAAAGTTACAACCCAGCTTTAAGCAAAAGCTCCATCTCGAGAGCCTCAGGCACCGTCAGGCTGCCTGTGCCTGCCTCCCTGCAGCTCTCCCCACGCCTGCTGGGAAAGGGGTGGTTGCCAGCGGCTGGTGAAGGACGGATCTGGCAGGGAGCTGTGCTGCTCCTGTGGGAATCTATATCAGGTTTGGGTTTGTCCTGTCAGCAAAACTCAGCTGGCAGGTGCTGGGCATTGTGCGCAACACCCTGGCCCAGGCAAAGCCGATCCCGCGGCACAGGCTTGGCACAGCCAGGCTGCCGGCACCGCGCAGCCGCCACCCC